ACCCAATGCATTCATAACAGGTCATGAATTATTCATGATTTACGCAATGCATTCATAACAGGTCATGAATTATTCATGATTTGTCCAATGAATTCAATATTGGACATGAATTATTCATGATTTGCCAAATGTTTTTATAATATGTTATGAATTATTCATTGTGTATTGATTAGGCAAATCATGAATAATTCATGATCAGTCATGAATATTTGATATGGTACTAAAATATATAAATAAATTTGATGTGATGGAAGACAAGACTTTGTATACTTACTACTAGGAGTGCTGTATGGATCATAAGTGGCACTGGCTGGAACTGGTCCGTATGATTTATGCGAATGATACTCAGAAGGATTAGAAGAGGCTGAACTTTGATGGGGCATCTTAATGTAACCAGAGGAATCTGTTGTGGGCGTGGGAGACCAGCTTCCAAGAAATAATGCAAAAAATAATACTAATACCTGAAAAAAATCAAAATGAAAACACATTTTAGAAGACTGTAATCTATTTCTCTTGTACATCCAAACTCAGATCTACAGATTTCTCAAATTTTATTTAATAAAGACAGGGACATAATTTAGCTTCACAGTATTGTATTCATTCGAATAGCGAAGTTGACTTTGGTTATTTTCCATGAGGTAAATCAAAACATAGTATGTTGAACAGAATCTGTTTATGTGGTCTAAATTAACAAGAAATATGTTTAAAATGTATCAAAAATTAGGTAGGACAATTTTTGAAATGATTTTTTTCAATTTTCACCTTTTCACCACCAGTTCCTCTTTTCATCACAAATTCACAAAATAGTCCCGTTTATAGTCTGTACTTTCCTTCATAAGATTTAGACAAAAATAGCAAATTTGTCTGTTGACTCCAAAATTAGGGTTCATTTCAAGAAATATTGAAGAATAGAAAAAAAATGTACAGACATGTTTATGCGAGAAAGTCTGGAAAGTGAAAAGGTTAAAAGTGGAGTAATAAATACCGAGTTAGAAAATGATAATGGGACACAAAGTTATGAAGATGCAACACATTTATTTTAGTGAGTACTTCATAAAATATAGATTGAGTTTACATTGGTCTGAAATTGACAACAATATTAGTAAAACAATGAAAAACAGATGAACTACATCAGTTTAAAACGTGTTTCTGACAATCAACAATCATTTTTGTTATTAGTATTTGTTGATCGTTTCTAAACTGTTTTAAACACATGTTAGTAATCTGTGTTGAATTCCAACAGACGAGATTCTGAACTGCTGAAATAGTCATTTTCAACAATTCAAAATGCTAATGAATTTTCTATCTTTGCAATGCACTTCCTTTCCCCACCTATGGTATAATGGTAGAGTCCAAAACCAGATGAGTTCATTACTGATGGGGGTTAAAGGGGTCAGAGAGAGGGGACAGTAAATGAAACCACCACCAATTCCTAATAACATGAAAAAAGGTTTTGTTAAAAAAATGAAACTGCTCTTCAACGTTGAATTGGAACAATCGAGTCAATTTGAGCCGTTATCCAAAAATATATCAAGATTATTGCAACGTCGAAGTGCAGTATAATAGTATACTTGACTACAAAATACACTACTTTGTAATCTGGAATAGATATCTGCCTTAGAATTACCCACTAAACATTCTACATGACATAAACTAAATATATCCATCGAATTTTAATTTATATGTAGTATTTATCAAGAAATTTAGATAATTTCTTAAGGTTCATATAGAAATGTTTCAATATAGTTCATGTACAGTTACATGTCATTAGAGTCTCCTGTAAGCACCCACAAAAGGGAGAAAAATATTTTAAAAAATGGCTTTTGTCATCGGATTTTTATTGAACCACACAATGCCAAAAATAAAATATTGTATACAGTCAAACTGATTGATTTTGATAATGTTTTTGGTCATTTTTTTTTTTTTCATTTTGCTGTCTGATGAAGTTCAAATGTTATTTTTACAGGTACGAAATATCCCAATTGCCTTGTGCAACCTATCTCTTTACAAAACTGCGGTGGTTAACAATAGGTGATTTTCCGTACAATGGCGAGATCTCGCGAGATGCATGAAAGACTGGCTTCGAACGTCTGCCGCAAAAATTGAACGATTTGATTTTGAACTAGAATTTCTTTATTTCGTAGCTCACACCGACCGGCCGATCTTCGACAGAGGAATATTGCTTTCGAATACCCTCACTTAATCGAAATTGCCTATCATCAAATGTGGACAGCACATTATTAAGCATGGAAATGTCCCCAAAATACTTTTGCGTTTGTCGAATCCCACGCGATGTTTGACGCGACTACGACGCTATGACCTTTGTTTGTCCTGTTTTTATGTTCAATTACACGCATAACGCGCGATTCTCGCAGTGTACGGAAAATGGTCTATTAATAAGATTGCCACAACTGACAAAAGTTTCTAAATTACGAGTATAAGCAGCAATGGGTATGACAATTCATTTGATGGATATACTTTGTTGGACGAGAACGCAACACAAGATTATTATCATGGCCTGGTAATGGCAGAAAGCATCCTTTTATACTGCACCTTTGACGCCTGCGTCAGAAATCCTAAAAATCTGTTATATATATTCTCTTGATTGTTGTCATCTCTTACGGCCTGTACGTAATCCATACTAAACAAAAAGGGGCAAGTTTTATCAAACGTTAACAGAGTATAACAGAAAAAAAAATTAAAAAAAGAATATACCAATTTTATTGTATTAGAAGCGCACAAGCAACAAAAATATATATATATTTTTTTTTTCGCTGAATCATAAATAATATCATTTTTTTAAAGTAAAGATTAAGTCTTTTATGTAAACATGTGCGTTTCTAAAATAGCATATGATATTTGAAAAGAAGAGCATGCGGCAAAATAATTCATTCCATTATGAAAAGAAAGGAATGTAAGGTATTTAGTGCATGATGATAATATTCCCGTCACCTTTGCACCACAAGTCTATAGAAAGTTGAAAAAATAAAGCGTTTATATTATATTATTATGATGTATAAAGATGTCTTGCTAGGCCACCAATACAACAATTCCAATTCACCACTAAACCATCTAACAATGTTGAGGTTATATTTTCTCAGTAAAGGTACATGTACAACAGACAATTATTAATAATTATAATTAAAAGTTGTTTGCAAACACAAGGTGTACATTTTTGTAAAAGTTATTTGTTTTATTTTGATGATTTATGCTTTTGTTTGGACCTTCTAAATTCATAACATTTCCAGAACTACTTGCACTTATTTCGGAAGAGCTATGCAAGATCTAAAATAGTTTTTTGAGTGAATATTTCACCTACGAAACACACAAATTTAGAAGTTTTCATGTTTTTCCCTATCAAATAGGAATGGGTAAAGTGAAATTGTTCTGTTCTGCACATACTATTGCAAAGCCAGTAAAGACTTAGTTCTCTGACCACATATTATTGCAAAGCCAGTAAAGACTTAGTTCTCTGACCACATATTACTGCAAGTGCATTTAAGCAGAATGTGCCCAACAGCCATGGTTATGAAAATGAAAGACATAGTGCAAGAAAAGAAAGATGAAATTGAAATGCTATATTGTCCCCTCTCTCCCCTCAAACTATGTTTAACTGTCTAATCTAACTATAAAGTATTTTTGTTCACAAAACTACTAAATATAGTAAAACAAGTCAAAACCAACCAGAAACTTGTCAAAACAGAACAGTCATTGATCCCTTATTATTGTTTAAATACATATAAAACCTATAAAACCAAACACTGTAAATTTTCCATTAAAAAGTTTTTCAGTGGTTCAATGTTCGGTCTTGATTTATTTTACTGTGTATCTGCACCAGTGCACAACATGACAGCAAAACAAAGTAAACTGTATTTGTGGACATGTGAGGGGGCTATTCAAACACTGTAAATTTTCCATTAAAAAGTTTTCCAGTGGTTCAATGTTCAGTCTTGATTTATTTTACTGTGTATCTGCACCAGTGCACAACATGACAGCAAAACAAAGTAAACTGTATTTGTGGACATGTGAGGGGGCTATTCAAAGTCCTTACAAGCCAAATTCACACAGAATACCATAGCACCGCTTGTCATGTTCCCAACTCGAGCCCTAACTGTGATTCATGCCTCTTAAACCTCACTGCTAATTAAAATTATTTCAGAACAAATTCAACAAGTTGCATCTCTTCAATGAAATTAATCACCAACTATACACTGACAAAATATGCTGTCAAAACACTGTAGAATACTTAAATTTATTTTCTCTAAATGCTAAATTGCATGCAATTTACTTTTTGCCGATTCCTTATTTTGTATTTGCTTTATCAGTAGCATTTGTAAAAATGAAAAGTTAGAAGGGTCAAAATATGTCATATTTAAATGATTCAGCATAGAATATATACTCTAAAATACTTTATTTTTGCTTGGAATTAATTTGCTATTTTCGCTGTGGGAATGATTGAGTGTGAAATAAAATCCAGCGAATATACCTTTTTCCTATATTTTACATTCAACTCATCAAAAATCACTGAAAATAAATTCCATACAAAACGCAGAAAAAGTCTTTACAGCGAAAATTAATTCAAGCTAAAATAAAGTATTTTACAGTACAATTTCTGATTCAAGAATTTCTGTTAAAGATGTGCTACTAATAGAGTAAATACAGCAATTAGTTATTACATACAAAATATAGGAATTATTGCAAATAAAGCATTCTACAGTACACTTTTTTTATAACACCTTGAAATACATCACACTAGTAACATTGCTGCATGTAAATAAAGTCTATTTTCGAGGGGGTCACATTTGAAGTGAGACATGATCACCAAATTAAACTGAACATGAGCAGTGAATACTACGTTCTTTGGGTAAACAGTGAATTTTCAGTGCTTCAATACTTTGAAATTTTTCACGACTTCTCTAAAATTGGACCCAAGGGAAGTTAAAGCAGTGTATATTATTTAAATCGCATCATAAAGCATATAATACCAATTTAAAAGTTAATTTAAAATATTTCTGTTATGGGGAATAAAGTTTAAAAACACATGTACTGATGCAATGTTACAAGTTTGATATGGCCAAGGTGTGGGTGACTTCTGTACTTACCATAAGACAGGTACCGGTTTGTGTAGAGGTGGCCTTTATGGGTTTGGAAACTTTACTGACAAGGGCTTGTAAGCGATGTAATTGTGACATCAATGCCTTGTTGGTATTTTCAAGGGATTCAAGCTTCTTCCTGAGATCTGTATTTTCTGATGTATAACCCTCAACCCTACAATTTAATACATATTTCAGATATTATATACACTGTAGTTGCATAGGTTGAACCTAATTCAGTGTTCTGAATAGGTGATTTTCCGAACAATTGCGAGATCTCGCGAGATGCATGAAAGACGCGCGTCGAACGTCTGCCGCAAAAATCGAACGATTTGATTTTGAAGGAGAATTTCTTTATTTCGTAGCTTACATTGACCGGCCGATCTTCGACAGAGGAATATTGCTTCCGAATACCCTCACTTAATCAAAATTGCCTATCATCAAATGTGGACAGCACATTATTAAGCATGGAAATGTCCCCGAAATACTTTCGCGTTTGTCGAATCCCACACGATGTTTGACGCGACTACGACGCTATGACCTTTGTTTGTCCTGTTTTTACGTTCGATTTCACTCATAACGCGTGATTCTCGCAGTGAACGGAAAATGGTCTATTCTCTTAATGTCAAGAGAAAAATAAACATATGCAATAGAAAGATTTAACTGGAGGACTACATTTCATAGCACTGAGGCATTTGCAAGACCTTCTGTCATCTGAAACTGAGTGCTTTAGCTATTTATTGAAATTGGATCACAATTAACCAATTCTGGGGAAAAAGGAAGGCAAGTAAACTGATTCAGTTTTGTGAGGGACAAAATCTCAAAATTTTGTAGCTGTTAAAATTTCTCCGGGGTCATATGATATAAAATATCAGCTACTTCCAAAAAATGTTTTCATAAATCCCATCAAATTATCAAAATCGTGAAAATAACTAGTGAAAATGGTCTACTGTAGTTAACAGCGTTGATATAGTTCTTTAGTCTGACAATAACAAATACTGTTTTTGAGAGATGTATTATATTCTTAATAACTACACAACCAAACACAGCTGTTGATTTAAGTGACATTGCTTTCACCCTTGACATCCAAGTTTTCCATCACTAGAGGGCGCTATTCATACAGCAGCAGTACTCTATAAGTCATGGTGGTGATAGTAAGGTTTTGGGTGTAATCAGTCTGTCATGGTTTTCATCTTTTTTAAAAGTATGAATTAGGTAAATATACACAGCAGAAAAGTCAACTTCTATAAATTACTTTGTATATTAAATTACTTAATTATAATTATAAGTCTTTCACACGGTTTAATTTTTAAGACTAGAGATTCAAAGGCAGTAAGTGGCCAAATATCTAGATGGAATGATTGGAAACTAATGCTTGAATAGACCATTTTCCGTACACAGCGAACATCACGCGTTATGCGTGAAATCGAACGTAAAAACAGGACAAACAAAGGTCATAGCGTCGTAGTCGCGTCAAACATCGCGTGGGATTCGACAAACGCGAAAGTATTTTGGGGACATTTCCATGCTTAATAATGTGCTGTACACGTTTGATGATAGGCAATTTCGATTAAGTAAGGGTATTCGGAAGCAATATTCCTCTGTCGAAGATCGGCCGGTCAATGTAAGCTGCGAAATAAAGAAATTCTAGTTCAAAATCAAATCGTTCGATTTTTGCGGCAGACGTTCGACGCGCGTCTTTCATGCATCTCGCGAGATCTCGCAATTGTTCGGAAAATCACCTATTTAGAAAACACACGATTGGTAAACAAAAACACATCATGCTTAGTTTACCTTTTCTCTAAGCAGTCAACGTATTCCTTCTTTTTCCGCCTGCTTTCTTGTGCTGATATCTGTAATGGAAATCAACATCAGGTCAAACTTTTTTCAAAAACGGTCAGTACTCTCAATAGTGTTATTTATTGTTCATACAGTAATAGACGCAGTGTTATCACAACCTGCCTTCTGAAGAACAGTTTACTGCACTGTTAAATAATGATAGTATTGTCATCCAGGTAGCACAGCATATCAACAAGTTCTTTGAAACTAGGCAACAAATACGCTAATAATATGCATTTTTTATGTAGAAGGAGTTGTTTTAATGTTTTTCTATTAATATTCTGTTTTTGTAGATTAGTTTTTTTATTTATTCCTTCTTTTTTAGTGTATTACCGGTAGTACTGTATACTTTTACTATTATCTGTAACCATTGCCATTCCCGGGGAGTATGTGTTAACAAGCAGCCTATCGGCTGAGATAGCTCCGCTGTTAGCAATGCACATTTCAATTAAAGAACTGAAGACATCATTAGAAAATGAACAATATGTATAGTATCAAAGCAATCGGACTTACAGTTTTTAACAAGAAGTCAAAATATCACTTTCTACCAAAAATGACAAAAATATTCACCAAAATTAGAGAATTGAAGATATCATCACGAAATGAACAAATCTGAGAAAGGTCTACTTGTAGTATCTATATATGTGATATCAAAGCAATTGAACTATTGGTTTTTAACAAGAAGTCGAAAATATCACTTTTTACCAAAAATGACAAAAATATTCACCAAAATTAGAGAATTGAAGATATCATCACAATATGAACAAATCTGAGAGAGGTCCACATGTAGTACCTACATGTATATATGTAGTATCAAAGCAATTGGACTAGCGGTTTTTAACAAGAAGTCGAAAATATCACTTTTTACCAAAAATGACAAAAATATTCACCAAAATTAGAGAATTAAAGATATCATTACAAAATGAACAAATCTGAGAGAGGTCCACATTTAGTACCTATATATGTAATATCAAAGCAATTGGACTTGCGGTTTTTAACAAGAAGTTGAAAATATCACTTTTTACCAAAAATGACAAAAATATTCACCAAAATTAGAGAATTGAAGATATCATCATGAAATGAACAAATCTGAGAGAGGTCTACCCAAGGTACATATACACCAAGTATCAAAGCAGTCAGGCTTGTAGTTTTCAAGAAGAAGTCGAAAAAGTAAAACATTGACACGGACGATCACTCATATGATAAGCTCCGCTCGACAAAGTCGACAGCGGAGCTAATAAATAAATATTGAATATTAAATATTAACAAGTAAGGACAGGTATCCTCAGCAAATTAATCTATGATGGCAAATGATAATCCGGCGTAATCATGCAATCTGAGGTACATATGGTGTATACCTTGTTTTTGATCTTTCGTCTGACTTTTTTGAGTGATTTTTCTTCTGCCTTTGTCAGTGGAAGTTTTGTGGGTATTGGATATCCTTCTTGTACGAGTGTGCGTTTTTCTTCTTCGGACAATATTATCGCACCAGATGGAGGGATTTTCTACAATAAAACAAATTTTTAAATTTAAAATTATATTTTTTTAGATTGAAGTCAGACATAGGTAGCAGTTCAATTTGCTTTCAATATATGAATGCTGCTGCAAAAGTCTGCTCTAGATTCTGGACACATGCTAGATTAAGGTATTTTCAATTTTATTAAATCTTAGACAAAAAAATATTTAAATTTACTAATAATATAGTTTTATATTAAAGTCAGACATACTTGTAGGAAGTGGTTGAGGTTGCTTTCAATAAATTGCTGCTAGTATAAAGTGTGTTCTTGATTCTAGACACACGTTAGATTAATGTTGACATGATTCTGTGGAAACTTGGATGAAAACAAAACTCACCTGGTTTAGTTGTGTGGTTATCACTGGATGTTGTACAATCTTTGGTCCAGATGTTGATGTGTGTTGTTGTTGTTGTTCTCTTGGCTGTTGTGATGATACTGTCGATGTTGTGTGGGGTTGAGCCAATGTCATGGATGGGATCTGTTTTCCTGTCATGCATGGTGGACTTCCAGGTTCAGATGCAGATCTATGTGGACTGAGTCCACCTTCACTGTCACTTGGAGTACTGCTTGGTGGTGTGGGTGGCATATGAACTTGTTCCATGGCTACAAATTAAAAAATATTGTATGTAAATTAGCATAATGAGAGTAAATATTAAATACAGTTACCTCAGTATCGATTATTAATCAGTTTTAATAACCCAAAGAGAAAATTATTGACCGAGGCACAGCTGAACAAATTTATACACTGACCATGGATAATGTAAAATTGTTACTGTAAAATACTTTAATTGGGAATTAATTTTCGCTGAAAAGACTTTTTGATTATTTTCACTGATTTCTGACAAGTTGAATATAAAATATAGGAAAAAAAAGGTATATTTGCTGGATTATATTTTCACTGAATCATTTGTTGAGCAAAATTTAATTCCAAGGGAAAAAGTATTTTACAGTTACTGTAATCTTTTTGTTTGTCGTGTAGTTCTTATGCATTTAAGTAAATAAATAAATAATACAGACGTGTATACATCAACACCTATCTTAAACCTGCACATTTCACTTAGGTAAGTTTTGTTCTGCGCTCAGAACTATTTTCAAGTCAGAAATGATTATTGTGTATCGTATTTAGTTCATATGCAACATATATCAGATGAGTCATTGTGTGATATTAAACGCCATATGTACGATTTATTGCAATTTCTCTGCTCAGGAACACAGGGGAATTTAAGGAACGATAATGACACATTACTCTCTCCAAACATTAATTTATAAATCCTCTACAGTATTGATTTCATTAATTTACGTAGTTTACGCATAATAAATATAAATATAATTTCATGTGCAATTACCTGTATATTATAAAAAAAACCAGATAAGTCTGTTCCCTGATCATACTAATTTTAATTAATAATCTCAGTGTTAAGTAACCCACAATGAATTGTATCAAACAGCAAGAACGAGTCTTGGCTTTCCGATAAGCTATTTTGTTGTACACATTTAAGGTTTATCATCGGTTATTTATGACCACATGAACTACGAATAAATATGATGTTTATATTGTGGTAGAATTGATATCACTCTGCACTAAAAATCAGAGCGTTGCAAATTTTAATTTGCACCTATGGAACTCCTATAAGTGGCTCTCTATAACCAGATGTATACAAGAATCTGATGTCAGAACTTTGGCACTGTGTGAACAAATTTAAAACTGATTGTGTTTTATATTTACAGAACAAAATGGTTAACCATACTGAATGATCCATTTTAAAGGCCAGAGGTGGTAGTCGCGCTATGTGCTGCTCGATAAGAGACCCATAGCGATGTATACAACACGTATAAAATACATTGTTTACATGAAAATCAAACACGTGCTGCGGGACGATGACAAATGCCCTTTAATAAGGTACCGGTAGTTGGCTACCATTAGACCTTAATCCTCAATTTCCTTAGACCTTTATAGTTGATAGGTTGAATACTCGCAAATGACTTGTTCGTAATTGTTCCAGTCTGAAAAGAGGCAGAGCGTAGTGTAGTTTGAAATTTGCATTATTATATGATCATACAGATGAAACAATATGGCTATATCATCAATTTTCTATACAACCAGCCTGTGCGGAGTAAAGGTCACCAAAAATAATTGAAATCTAATCACGATATTTGTATGTGCAGAATGACATTGCTTTTAGTCAATAGAGAGTTTAATACTCTTTGACCGAGTTAGCACATTTTAAGATCTAACTCCAAATACAGCACAGCTTTTGTCATCATAAACATTTTGATAATTTCAAACAAATACTAATTAGTTTCTTTAGTGATTCAGATTACTAAAACAAGAATTTATTTGTTCATTTATGAAGTTCATTTCCAACTACGAAAAATGTATGACAATAGAGTGACGATGATAGGTACATTGTATCAAAGATGGTTCATGGAGACAGATTACTAGCTAATAGTTTTTACAATATTTTATTAATTTTTTTATTGCATGTCAATACTTTGCATTAGTGGATTTGAAACAGTGGCCATCATGGTGAATGAACCACCACTTCAAAAGCTTTATCAATGATTTCAGAGTTCACCTGATATATTCTACCAAATTAACCTCGTGTTATGCTACTTTCTTGTGGAGTGGACCAACAGTTGTTGGTCATAGATTCAAACATTACAATTAGCTAAAATTGAGATGTAATTTCACAATATGGCGTAATAAAGTTATTATTATATAAAATACATTTCACCAGGTCATAAATGAAAACTGAGCTTTGCTACTGATCATATGCTTTATTATTATACATCTGTCACCATAACGTCATAAGTTACAGTGTGTCATAATTTTCCAGATATTTTATGGGGTATTTTCATCCTACCATATTAGGAATTGCGAATTCCAAATATGGAATGTGCGTTATTGTCCTCTAACAATAAAAACAAACATGGCTACCACCGGAGTTTGATCAAACTCCACACAAAGAAGTTTGCTGAATCTGTTCTAAACCTTTTAGATTTCTGCATTCCCATGTTGTATCCTTGGAAGGAAAAGATGTATATAATAAAGTTATTTACGAGGATACCCCAAAGTATGCACTCAAACAGTAAACTGATGCGCAATGGAGGTCGATACTCCAGCCGTACCTTGACGATATCCTCGTAATAACCTCACATAATTACATTGAGTCGTGTACCTTGAGGTACTGGTATATTATTTTTATGGAGCAATATGGTTGAAATAATTAGGTTACTAATTGTGTTACAATATGAAAAGCATGCAAAAAAAAAAAAAAAATATGTTCATCTTGTCCAATGCAAACCCAGTGAATGTATGCATGTTAATTTTTTATATATTTCATTTAAAACTGATTAAATTTTATGTAAGAATAATTAGTATGAATTTTGAGTGGAGAACAATTGCAAAATGCAGCAGCAGTCTTTATTGAAATGTAAAAATGGTAACTTTTCTAAGTTTTAGCCATCTTTGCAATTTCTCAAAATCCAATCAACATTCTACGTCTTTTTTTATGAATATACTGTATTAGCTCTCTACATGTACTTTGATACAGAGGTATGTCTATGGTCACAAAAAGTCATACTATAGGGGTCATGCACAAGGCCACACATAAGTTCTTGAACACAAGGCCAGAGAAACGCATTTAAAAAATGTACAGCCAACAAGAATGTATTTTCTACTTAATTGAATTTATCTATAAACAAGCAGCTTCTCGGTCGAGATATCTCCAATATAAGCAATGCACATATCAATTAAAAAACATTAGAAGAAATCATTAGAAAATGAACAAATCTGAGAGAGGTCCACCTGCGGTACCTATACATGTAATATCAAAGCAATCAGACTTGCGGTTTTTAACAAGAAGTCCAAAATATCACTTTTTACCAAAAATGGCAAAAATATTCATCAAAATTAGAGAATTGAAGATATTATCACGAAATGAACAAATCTAAGTAAAGTCTGCTCAAGGTACATGTACACCAAATATCAAAGCAATAAGGCTTGTAGCTTTCAAGAAGAAGTCAAAAAAGTAAAAAGTTGACACTGACGATACTCATACAAAGACAACAGCGGAGCTAAAAAAGGCCATAATATCATGACCAAAAACTAAAATTGCATGCACAGTGACTGGTTGGTAGCACCACTTATTAGTACCAGAGGCAAAATAATAACATTGTTTGCTGCTTAAATATATACACATGTCCAGGTTAATAAAATAACTTATGCGATACCCTTTTCACAGCAGATCAGGTGCTAATATTAATCCATGTGAACCTTTTTAGTTGGACATCATGCTGGTTGGCAGAAAATGTATATAAATGACACCACAGTGTGATGTGAAAGCTGCATATAAAATAAATATGACAGGTGATCAGTAGAAGATGCTGCTCTGAAGAAAAAATTCCAACAATATATTTTTCAAACGAATCAGTGTCTGAATTGTACAAATGTTTTAACGTTAAAATGATATATAGCAATTGGTTACTGCAATATTTCATGCAAATCACAGACATAAATAGACGATTAAGCTTTTTGGCAGTTATTTTTATCCAACACTGAGAATCAATATAATCAGTTTGTAGGAGTAGTAACCAGTTCGTTCTCTTCATCACAAATTCACAAAATAGTCCTGTTTAAAGTATGCATGTTTCTTCAGAAGATTGGGACAATTTTTTTTTAGTAAAAACTGAAAATTGACTTAAATTTTGTCTGTTGGCTTCGAAATTAGGGTTTATTTCAAGAAATATTGAACAATATAAGAAAGTGCAGAAAAATTTAGATGAGAAACTCTGGTGGTGAAAATGTTAAATTTTGAATTTTTCTGCAAAATTGTTTTGTGACACATTTTTCTATAATTTCTCAATTTTTGACCAATTAAGACAATTTCCCATTTGCAGTGAAGTCTTTGGAAATTGGAAAAAAAATGATTTTGGTGTTTGAAAGGTTTATAAAAGCATCACATTGAATTATTAGTTTTATTTTTAACTGACAATTTCACACGCAAACCACAAAAACTGAATTAGTATAAAAATACTATATTTGGCCTATTTATAGATCTATTAATCTTTCCACAATCAAATGTTCAAATACCTTTTCTAATCCATCAATATGCAGAAGCCTTCAGTTTTTTTAATATAAATTTTCCACAGTGTTGTGAACTTGCCAAATAATATGAAATGACTGCCATCTTTCTTGCAGCATATAATTAAAATATTAAGTATCAACAGTACATTCTCTGAATGAATATTTACTAGATGCTAGCAACAGCAAAATGATCCGGACTTTTCAGCTGGTGTTAAGCCAAAATGCTGTATGAATTATGCACACACAGAAAAGCGATTATGCTTAAAGTCTTATTTTATGTACACTTCTATTACTGGATATAAAATATGGTACATGGTTTTGCAAGGAATACATATTTGGGTAGCAATACTCTGAGAATGTAAAGACAAGTCTATTGAAAACACTTGTTGCTTATCTGATCTAGCAATTGAGAATGGTAACAGTTTTACAGAGATATTTGACAATTGATAGATAGTTCTGTCACTTCACTGCAACCAATTATGTTGATTTTACACTTCAGTGTAACCGACACAACTGTATGACATTTGTCGTTGCATTACTAGCTCCAAGAAGAGGAAAATGTGTCGCAATGACAGGCTGAGCTCACTGTGTACGATGTGTGTTTCAAGCCTCATATGCAAGGTGTGTAAAATATTACATGAAACAGAATATGCATGCTGCACAGAATGTGTGATGTTTTTGGCCATGAATTTTTTTTGTATTTTCTATAATGTTTTTTTTTTGGGGGGGGGGGAGGGGACCAAATAAATAGAATTTTCTATTGACTACAGATCTTATCAAAACTTGTGGGTCTTATTTTGTGAAAGAAGACGAGGACTTTGGTGCTTTGAGGGTTAAAGAGTAATATTTATCCTTATAAATCAAGTTATCCAGTGGCAGTAACTTACTATGGCAATGTTTTGTCCACTTTTACAAGGAACATTGGCTCTACTGCCCTCACATAAAGTTAATTTTGTTGAACGTTATTGTTCAACTTGGCACATTTGTTGATGAAAAAAAAACTTAACAGTGATAACTTCCACAAGAAGAATATTGATTACTAGAATTTAATGAACTCTGAAATAAATAATTTGAAATAAGAATTCAATCAAAGTTGAGCATTAAACATGAGTGTACATGAATAACTTAGGAACTAGGTATACCAAACATTGAGTTTTCCTATTTCTACATGTATACAACACCATACATTTCCAAAAAATTACAATTCTGCTAGCACATAGGGGAATACTTACTGGGATCATGTAATGAGTCGTTATCAATATCCATGTCGATATGTTCTTGTTTTATTCGGTACTGAACCCTGGGTTTGCTCTGTGACATGTTAAAGATTGGTGTTGTCGTCATTTGTATACGTGGTGGTTGCGGTGCTGGTAAATCGCATGTCATGCAGTCATCAGTAGTGGATAGATTCAGAGCGGTCTCGTATTCATCCATAGGTGGTTCCTGTTTGATTCCATATACTGTGTGTTCAGCTGTACTAGAATAACCAAGTCCATCTGTATCTAAATCTGAATAATTTTAAGTACAAGAATTATTATTTAATCACAATCTATGCTGTAAGCCGATTTAATTCCTCAAGACAAATATTCGTGAGTACCCAGTAAGTCAAAATCGCAAAATTTTGTAGCAATGAAAATTTCCTGTGCTGGTGACTTTTGCAGAATTTTGTTTTTGCAAATGTGCCAGAGTGACTTTCACTGGGGTCCTAGAGGGTTAGAGACATTCATCAAGTTCATTATTACAAATGCACTGAAATTGCGAAGTTGATAACAGCGAAAATAAACTTACCCTTTCCAAAGTCATCTAATCGAAAACCTGGTAGTAATGGAGAAGGTGGAGTCGGCTCGGTCATCAAGGAGTAGCTATGCTCGGCTTGTATATGAGGAGTGGGTGCAATATCACTGATTACTCTATCGGTCAACAAGGGGTCTTCAAAGATATTATTTAACCAGTCACAAGGAAGGTCCTCCATACCGCTGGAAAGCGACTGCAACCAGGAACATAATTGAAATCCAGACATTATAATTTAGGTTGATATAAAAATTTCAAGTTAGCAGACTTAGGTTGGGGACATTTAAAAGGTTGGTCTTATGCGTATGTTATTGTTACAGTAGTAGGTATCGCCACCTCAGGCTAATAACAGCAGAAAAAAAATCTCTCCTGGGAATAAGCAGATGGTAGTTTCTGTTTTGTCGGAATTTCACAGACCACAACACAGAATACAGTTCTATATGAAGAAGTGCATGCCCATCACGCTTAAAATCGTGATTTGCAATAAATTTCTAACAGTCAGTTTCAAGTACAACTCAAAAACCACAAAACTTCAGCACACAAGTTTATGCACCACATTCAGTGCAACCAAGTAAATCAGAAATAGCTCAAAGACTCTGCAGCGTAGAATCACCCAAGTGCACAAATGTACATGTGATATTCAGGCTGCTTAGAAGCACACTGTGCTGCCTATTACTACCACAGCAAAGTAACCACTACGTCAATTTGTCATAACTCATGAATATTCAATTACAAAGACAAATATTCACATAAATGTTGATAAATGACAGAGGTTAGTTTGTGTTCAACAAATTCCCAGGCATAAAAAAACCCACAGATATAGGGATGAACTTTACATATTAAAGCATGTTAGTTCGCTCTTTTCTAACTTTTTATTATTGTTCATTTATACATTTATTACCGGTATATCTCAGCCCACATCTCTACCTTCAATATGGTGTAATACAGATTTTATTGTTATATCACCTCAAAGCTGGAATAAAGTAAGACAGATGGATGGCATACAATTTAACAGTAAGAAATGGGATGAGGGTACATTAAGACAACAATACGTACAATACATTTGTATGCATTCACAAGAGGACGATTTTTGCTCAGCAATACAGAATAATTAGCATTATTCTCTTATTTTTATAACAGCGGTTGAGGCATGAGGAGGTTTATTGAGTTTAATGGTGCTATTTAGTGATGTTATCAACATTTCATGTTCAGTGCAACCATTCTTTTTAAAACCCTGAAGAGGAATTTTAAGTGTTTTACATTAAAACGTAGCATACGTTTTTGTCGATTGATGAATCAACACTTTGTTGAAGAGATTGGGATTGCTTTGTCAGTTGGATTCCAATAGTTATAAATATGATACCACCAGTTATGAATTATTGGTATGTATCAATTTAAATTTTTAATTTTGGAACTACAAGTTATGAATAAAATAATTATTGGTATGCATTAACAGATATTCTTAACCTTGGAAACTACAAGTTATGAAATAATAAATATTGGTATGTATTAACTGATACTCTTAACCTTGGAACATTAATTTATATTTCAAATATATTACAGCACATAAATCTCAATGTAAATATTTTGTGATGAATCTAAAAATTAAATTAACGTTAACATAAGAGCCTTGAGATTTGAATAAGAAATCCTACTCTTTTAGATTGAATACAATGAAGTCCAGACTGCTCAACCTTTTCACCACCAGTTCCCTCTTTTCATCACAAATTCACAAAATAGTCCCGTTTTAGTCTGCACTTTACTTTTAAAGATTGGGACAAAATAGCCAAATATTTTCAGTAAAAACTAAAAAATTTACTCAATTTTGTCAGTTAGCTTAAAAATTAGGGTTAATTTCCAGAAATACTAAGGAATACAAGAAAAAAAGTGCAGAAAAATTTGGGCAAGAAAGTCTGGTGGTGAAAAGGTTACTAAGTACTCCAGGGTCGAATTTGCAGACTAAACTATGTCTGATACAGTAGACTCAGTCAGCAATCTAAACCATTCAATGTAAATTGATATCACATGCCAAAACACTAAAATGGCCCATTTCACCTTCACAAAGGTGGGTTTCCTTGAACTCAACCATATCTATTATCCATGGAATTAGACAGACATTTAATATATCTTTTTAAACCATAACTGTGGGAGTCTATGTATGGTCTTAGTTACCATATACTAGTATTCCAGTATTGAACAGCATTTTCATGGAGAAGAGAACTAGGAGAGATCTTTATCTAG